ACGTTCAATGTGACTATTGATAAGTAGTGACTTTGCCCTGCCATTTTCCCAAAGATATTTTCTGGTATATGCTTTGAGCTTCCTGTGATCTTTTACTGGTAGGTTTTCTTCCTTTACCTTCTTCCATATTCATGGCTGTGTTTCTGTGTTTCTGTGTGTAGCACATCTTTAAGCATTTTTTGCAGGGCTGCACCAGTGGCGACAAATTCTTTCAATTTCTGTTTTCTATGAAAGGTCTTTATTTCACCTTCATTCACAAATGAGAACTTTGCAGGATATAATATTCTGGGCTGGCAGTTTTTCTCTCTTAGTACCTGGGCTATATCTTGCCATTCCCTCCTAGCTTGTAGTGTTTCTGATGAGAAGTCTGCTGTGAGTCTAAGTGGAGATCCTCTGAGAGTAATCTGACATTTCTCTCTTGCACATTTTAGGATCTTTTCTTTATGTTTCACTGCGGTGAGTTTAATTACAACGTGTCGTGGTGAGGATCTCTTTTGGTCGTGTTTATTAGGGGTTCTATGAGCTTCCTGTACTAGGATGTCTCTGTCCTTCTCCAAACCTGGGAAATTTTCTGCTAGTATCTCACTAAAAAGACCTTCTAATCCTTTCTCCCTCTCCATGCCTTCAGGAACTCCTAGAACCCAAATGTTGGGTTTTTTAATAGTACCCTGTAGATTCCTGACAATATTTTTTAGATTTCGAATGTTCTGTTCTTTTCTTTGCTTTGACGGTATCCTTTCCTGTTCTCTGTCTTCTAAGTCTGATATCCTCTCTTCTGCTTCACCCATTCTGTTTTCAAGGCTCTCTAATGTGTTTCATTTGATCTATTGAATTCTTCATTTCATTATGATTTCTCGTCACTATCACAGTTTCCTGTACTACTAGTTGTTTCATTTCATTTTGATTCCTCCTTAATATTTTATTTTCACGAGAGAGATTTTCAATCTTGTCCATTAAGGATTTCTCTAGTTCAAGAATTTGTTTCTGAGAACTTCTTAATGTTCTTATCAATTTTTTGAGATCTGCTTCTTACATTTCTTCTATCTCATCATCTTCATAATCTTGAATTGGGGTGTCTTTTTCATTTGGGGGCATCATAGTGTCTTCCTTGTTCTTGTTACCTCGGTTTCTGCAGTTATTTGGCATTGTGAAGATATTCTTTGGTTTCTTCATTGTGGTGCTTTTTCTCATTATATTATGACTCTAGATTAAGTGGACTGTCTGCTTTTGCTGTATCCTTAGAGGCTGTGATGGGTGTGGCCAGAGAGCTCTGTTTGCTTCTTCAGGGTTAAGGGTGTGCCAAAGGTGACTCACCCAGATTGTTCTCTTGCTCGCTCGCTCGCTCTCTTTTTGTTGTTGTTGTTGTTGACTCAGTTGGGAAGTAATTCCACACAACTGATTGGAACTGAGAGTATTTGATGTATGAAATCTGGCCCCTCTGGGTATTCATCTGCTCTACCCCTGCGACCACACAAAGAGTTTATGCAGCCCTCAGTGTGGTCTCAAATTTCTCTGCAGTCTCTCACTGGGTTGCCAAGGTCACCAAGTTTGTGTACTCAGTGAGTTCTCTCGTCCCCCCCCCCCTCAGATTTTCAGTCTCAGTTTGTTAGCTCCACACTTTCACTAAGTCCTAACCTCCTGTTATTTCTCCCCACCAGAGTCAGGTTTTTCTGCTTGGCTGATGGCGGGCGCCACTTTACGAATGTCCAAAATGGTGCCTGCTCTTTGTCTTGATCAGCTTTGTAAGGTGAGTGGAGAGAGAGGCTAATGTTTGTGCAGTTCCCCTTATTTATTCATTTTTTTCTCTCCTCCGGTCAGCCTGGTGAACTTTCCCTAGTGGGGCTTCAGGCCTCGTTCCCTCTAGGCTCTTTCTGCCTTTCCCCTCCAATGTCTCAGGTTACTGAGGTTTTTGTCTCACCTCCCTTCCAGCGCTGGCACACAAACTCTGTGGCTGGGCTTCCACGTGGTAGGCAACCTTGCTCTCCCCGTAGGTCCTCCATGTCACATCCACTAGATCCAGAAGAGTTTCCTCTGCAGTTTTTCCTTAGCCTTTTCCTAAGACTACAGTAACTCCTCTTTTATTAAACTATCTTTTCCTGGACTATCGGTGCGCGCCCTCACTATTCCTCCACCTTGGTTCCACCGATCTTGACTCCACATCCATGGTTAAATTTATTCCAAGGTATTTAAATTTTGTGTAGCTATTGTGAATAGGATTGATCTTAGAAGTTCTTTCTCAGCCATGGCATGGTTTTCCTATACAAATGTTACTGATTTTTGTGTGTTTATTTTCATCCTAACACTTTGCCAGACTCTCTTATGAGTTCCAATAGTGCATTACTAGAATCTTTTGGTTCCCCTATATATGGGATTATGTCATCTGATAGTGGGGATAATTTGACTTCCTGCTTTTCAATTTTTATCCTTTTCTCTTTTTTTCTTGCATAAATGCTCTGGCTAAAACTTTCAGAACTATATAGAATAGCAATGTTTAGAGTTGCCATCCTTATCTGGTTCCACATCTTAGTAGTAATGCTTCCAGTTTTTCCCAGTTCAATATTATCTAGCTGTGGCATTGTCATATATATTGCCCCACTTGTGTTGAGGTATATTCCTTTTCATACCCAATTTCTTAAAGGCTTTTATCATGAAAACATTTTGTATTTTATAAAATCTTTTCTCTGCATCTACTGAGATAATAATATGGTATTTATTCTTCAGATTATTAATATGTACATTACATTTATTGATTTGTGTATGTTAAAGCATCCCCAAATCCCTAGGATGAGTTCAGCTTGGTCTGGGTGAATGATATTTTGATATGTTGTTTGATTTGATTAGCTTGTAATTTGTTCAGGATTTTTTCATCTGTGTTCATCATTATTATTGGTGTGTAGTTCTCTTTCTTTGTGGTATCTTTCTGATTTGGAATCAAGGTGATGCTGGCTTCATAGGAATTTTGGAGGATTCTCTCTTTTTGAATTGTTTTCAATAGTTTAAGAATTGAAATTAGTTATTCTTTAAAAGTTTCATAGAAGTCAGCAATGAAAGCCATCTGATCCTAGGCTTTTCTTTTTTGGAGAGTCTTTATTACTGATTCAATATCTATCCTGGTTTTCTGTCTATTTAGGTTTTCTATGTCTTCATTCTTCAACTGTGGTAAGTTATATGTGTCCAGAAATCTATCCATTTCTTCTGGATTTTCCAATTTGTTGGAATAATGCTGTTTGTAGTAATTCCTTGTGGGATTTCTTTGTCCTTTTGTGGTATCTATTGTAATAGCTTCTTTTTCATCTCTGATTTTATCTATTTGTGTCTTCTCCCTTTTTTACTGGTTAGTTGGGCCAGTAGTTTATGGATTTTGTTTATTTTCTACAAAAAATATGTCTTTGTTTCACTGATCTTTTTATCTTTTTTATTTCAATTTTGTTTATTCTCCAATTTTAATTATTTATTCCCTCCTATTAATTTGGGATTTCATTTGTTTTTGTTTGTCTAGTTCTTGGGATACATTGCTAAATCATTTAGTTGATGCCTATACAATTTCTTAATATAGGCACTAATTGCTATAAACTTTCCTCCTAACACTGCCTCTATTGTATCCCATAATTTTGGATAAGTTATGTTGTCATCTTCATTCATTTCCAGAAATTTTTTAATTTCCTTTTTGATATCTTCTATGACTCTCTGCTCATTCAGGAGCATATTGTTCAGTATCCTTGATTTTGCATATTTTCTAGAATGTATTGTTGTTCATTTCCATCTTAATTCCATTGTGGTCAGAAAAGAGACATGATATGATTTGACCTTTTTTTAAAAAATTTGTTGAAAATTGTATTATGACCTAACACCTAGTCTACCTTGGAGAAAGTTCCATGCACTGATTAAAAGAATGTATATTCTGCAGCTGTGGGATGAAATGCCCCATAGATATGTTAGGTCCATTTGGTCCATAGTATAGATTAGATTTTTTTGTTGATTTTTTTCAGTTCATCTGTCCATTGATGAAAGTGGGGTTTTGACAGCCCCAGCTTTATTATTGTGTTGGAGCATATGTTTCCTTTTATATCAATTAGCTTTCATTTTAAATAATCAGTGCCCTAGCATTGGGAGCGTATATATTTACTATAGCACATCTTCCTGGTTTACTGATCCCTTAATCATTACATAATGACCTTCTTTGTCTCTTTTAACAGTTTTTATCTTAAAGTCCATTTTGTCTGATATCAAGCTGGTTACTCCTGCTTATATTTTATTTCTCATTACATGAAATATCTTTTCTCATCCTTTCTCAATCTGTGTGTCATTATTGGTAAGGTGTATTTCTTATAGGATGCATATAGATAGGTCTTGTTTTTTAATCCATTCATCCAGTCTGTATCATTTAACTGGAGAATTTAGGACATTTACATTTGAGATTTTTTTATTGGTAAGTGATGACTTGGTCTTGGGGCTAGCACTGTGGCACTTAATTCTCCACCTGTGGTGTTGGCATCACAAATGGGCACCAGTTCTAGTCCCAGCTGCTCCTCTTCCAATCCAGCTCTCTGCTTTGGCCTGGGAAATCAGTGGAAGGTGGCCCAAGCATGTGGGCCCCTGCACCCATTTGGGAGACCTGGAAGAAACTCCTGGCTTCTGGCTTTGGATCAGCTCAGCTTCCTCCATTGTGGCTATTTAAGGAGTTAACCAGCAGATGGAAGACCTTTTTCTCCATCTCTCCCTCTCACTATCTGTAACTCTGCCTCTCAAATAAATAAAATATTAAAAAAAGTTTGAGTTTATCCTTCCATTTTTCCATAAATATCTCTATTGTTTGTTTTGGATTTTCTTTGTTATTTTACTTGGAGGTTTTCTGCCTTCAGATTCTTTTGTGCTGCTGACTACCTTTCTCTGTTTCTGTTTGTAGCCTGTCCTTAAGTGCATTGTTTTGAAATCATTTCCTGTGTTGTGATTTTTTAACTTAGTACCTATTTCTGTTATCTACATTGTTTTCAATATAGAGCTTTTGAAGAAAAACGAAAAGAACAAGAAGAAAAAGAATATCAAATCAGAGAAAAAATACTTCAACAAAGAAAACAGAAATTTGAAGAAGTTACTGAAAAATTTCAGCGTGGCCATATTCCTCTTTCACAACGGAGAAGAGCAGGTGCTGTTATTTCCAGAAAAATATGGAAAAAAAAGTAAAATTATAATCGCACTTGACTTGGGTAGACGATAAAAATGCTAAATTAAGAAACCAAGTGGAAATTCAAGCCAAAAATGACCCATGTGTATTTTGAGTAATAAGACTTTCAAGTTGACTAAGTTTAATTTGTGAATATTTTATTGGCTCTGTTAGAAAATCCTGAAAGCTCAGATTACAATGTTTTGTCCTATTAAAATTGATTTAGTAAGGTAAGTGGCTTATAAAAAATAGAATTTAACATTTGAGTTAAAAAATCATTGTCACATTCATTCTGGCATTGTATTCCTTTTATTCACAGTTTAGTTGCAAATCATGTTAGAGAGAGTAGAAGTACAAATCTACAGAGTAATATAACCCAACAATCGAAGACCTATAATCAGTTACAAATTTAAATATGTTTGGTTGGTTCTTTGCTATCACATCTACATTCAATTGTATTGGTCTTTTATAATTAGAATATCAACAATTGATTAGGGAAATGGATTATCTAGTGTTCAAGTTTGAACAAACTTTTACTTAGTAATATCCTGTTTTTTCCTAAACATTTTAAAGTAAATTACAAACTTTGTAATACATGAAAACACTTGTGACATGTGAATATTATATTGGAGAAAATAGGAAAGACAGTTTATCCATGTGGAGTTAAAGCTAGAAGCTCACCTACCCTACCTCTGAACCTTACATTATTTATAGCATATGATCAGAGAAAAACAATGACTTTTCTTGCTAGTCTATAGGAGAAGAAATCTTCTTGAAAGACAGCTATGTTTCCACTTGAAGAAGAAAGTGAAGAAAATATTTAGGGAGAAATAGTAGAAATGGGATATTTTGAATACCAAAGTACACATTGGAATGCTTTGGGGGAATAAATGCATATAGATTGTAGAGTTGGAATAGAGGTTATACAGAGCAGTATATCTATAATAGTCTATAACCTTCAACAAATTACTTTCGTCTTTTGCCATCATTTCCTCAGTTGTAAAATTACAATGGCATCTGCCTCATAGACAATAGTGATGATTAACTTAGCTGATACTTGTAAAGTGCTTGAAAATAAGATTTCTGATGTGGTCATTTGTCCTGGCTGTTAAGACACCAGTTAGGATATCCACATCCTACATTGGAGTATCTGTATTCAGTCCCTGCTCAGGCTTCTGTTTCAGCTTTCTGATAATGCAGACTCTGGGTGTCAGCCATAACAGTTCAAGTAATTGGGTTTCTGCCTCCCACATGGGGGATATAGATTGAGTTCCCAGCTCCTGATTTCAGTCCAGCCTAGTCCCAGCTATTGCAGGCATTTGGAGAGAGAACCAGCAAAAGAGAACTTATTCTCTCTCTCTCTTTTTTTTAAAAATTTTGACAGGTAGAGTTACAGACAGTGAGAGGAAGAGCAGAGAGAAAGGTCTTCCTTCTGTTGGTTCACCCCCTAAATGGTTGCTACGGCTGAAGCTGCGCCATTCAGGAGCCAGGTGCTTCTCCTGGTCTCCCATGCAGGTGCAGGAGCCCAAGCACTTGGGCCATCCTCCACTGCCTTCCTAGGCCACAACAGAGAGCTGGACTGGAAGAGGAGCAACCGGGACTAGAACCCGGTGCCCATATGGGATGCCAGCGCCACAGGCAGAGGATTAATCAAGTGAGCCACGGCGTCAGCCCCTGAGAACTTATTCTCTCTGTGTCAAGCCCTTACTCCCTACATATCAAATCAATAAAATTTTTAAGATTTACAGTAATAAGTGCTTAATACTTGATATTTTTTATATTCTTCCTTTTCTTTATAGGACTATTTATAAATTTGGTCATAAATTTAAGAAACTACAAAGTCAAATACAGAGGAGTTTTTATGCCAGAATAGAAAACTTAGGCATTTCTTGAAAGTTTCCTTTTTCCAGATAAATATTCTTAAAGTTGATAATGAACATTTTTTTAAAGATTTATTTATTTATTTATTTATTTGAAAGTCAGAATTACACAGAGAAGGAGTGGAAGAGAGAGAGAAAGAGAGAGGTCTTCCATCTGGTGGTTCACTCCCCAAATGGCTGCAACAGCCAGAGTTGTGCCGATCTGAAGCCAGGAGCCAGGAGCTGTCCTTGGGTCTCCTACACGGGTGCAGGGGCCTAAGGAGTTGGGCCATCCTCCACTGCCTTCCCAGGTCATAGCAGAAAGCTGGCTCGGAAGTTGAGCAGCCAGGACTCGAACCAGTGCCCATATGGGATACTGGCACTGTGGGCGGTGGCTTTAACTGCTAAGCCACAGCACTGGCCCCGATAATGAAAATTTTGAGAAACCATTTTCCTTTGGGAATTGGATGTCAACATTAAAATATTTAAACTATTCTCAAAATATTTTCTTTTTGGCCGGTGCCATGGCTCACTTGGCTAATCTTCCACCTGTGGCACCGGCACCCCAGGTTCTAGTCCCGGTTGGGGCGCCAAAAAAAAAAAAAAACTCTGTCTCGGTTGCCCCTCTTCCAGGCTAGCTCTCTGCTGTGGCCCAGGAAGTCAGTGGAGGATGGCCCAAGTGCTTGGGCCCTGCACCCGCATGGGAGACCAGGAAGAAGCACCTGGCTTCTGGCTTCGGATCGGCACAGTGCGCCAGCTGCAGTAGCCATTTGGGGTGGGGGGTCAACCAACGGAAGGAAGACCTTTCTCTCTCTCTCACTGTCTAACTCTTCTTGTCGAAAAAAAAAGTTTCTTTTCATAAAAGTTTTAGAGAAATGTTGTGTCATTGACCAATTAAATTATATTCAGAGATGTCATTGAAGATAAAGTGATCTTGTTCTACTTGATCTTTCTTTATTATCCCCTTAGTTTTTCAAAAACCAGTTCCTCCTTTAGAAGAGGCTCTGAAACAAATTCAGGAATCAAACTTAAAATCAGAACTAAATCTTCCGTTTTCTCACAGGACAACCATAAACTGGAAGTAAGTAATTTATGTATAACTATTAATATATAATAATTATATAGCTCTGTAGTTCCCATGTTTATATGCCTTTATTACCAGTATTCCTGTCCTCTATTTTAGAACGTATTTTGTTTTCACAAATTAAATGCAAATAGATTAGAGTATAAATTGCTTCAAGAGTTGTCAGGATTCAAATGTTGTCTTGAAGTCTTTCATAATATGAATGCTGCCTAATGTTGAGTAATTTCTGTAGACTATCATCAAAACTATTTGAAAATATTAATATTGACTATTACTCATCTTTACTGAGAAGAGAAAATTGTGTTGAATTGCAGTGATATGAACTTAGGTAAAAAGAGTAACTGTGGTAGAAATGCATTTTTGCTCATAAATCTTTTCTGGATGTCTCAAAAATCCTACAGTGTCTCCTGACTCCTTTTCAGGGTTGCATAAATGAATTATCTAGAAGCCATATGATAGGCCAACCAATCACCAGGTACCCTCTGGCACCCTGTATTTTCCATTGAGTTATTCTGAGTATTTGTTAATGTTGCTATAACGTAGAACTAGATCCGATGTTATAAGGGGATATAGAGAAGTGTGTTACTGTAAAATATAATCCCTTATGTATAATCTAAGGCAGAAATGATATAATGCCTCAGAAAGTATAGAATAGTACGAAGTCCATGATAATAATATTTAAAATTTGCTTAAAGATATCTACAGTTAGAGGCAAATAATGTTAATATCTTATTTTAAATTTTTTTAGATTTAACATTTTAATATTTCATTATATTCATTTTAATGTAAATATTATATGCATATAGATACATATTATCTTGCTTGAATGCAGACATATTAATATATAATATAAGATCATGACAAGTTTCATAAAGTGAGGAAAGAAAAGTATATTATTATGTAGAGGGTGCAAGTCAGTAGAGACAGCATTTATAACTATCTACATACCAAATAATATGACTGCCACACATTTTTATACCCTTTCTAAACAAACATCCAGAGAAAACATGGAATTTGTCATTCTGTGTGTGGCTTACTTCACTTAGCATAATGATCTCAATTTCAATCCGTTTTGTTGCAAATGTTAGGATTCCATTCTTTCTTATGGCTGAGTAGTATTCCATTATATATCTATACATTTTCTTTCTACAGTTATCAGTTGATGGACATCTAAGTTAATTTCATATCTTTACTATTGTGAAGTGGGTTATAATACACATGTGAGTGCAGATATGTCTTTCATATGCTGACTTTACTTCCTTTGGATATATATCCCACCCCAGAGTGGGATAGTTAGGTCATATGGTATCCTGTCCATGATATTATTCCATTTTAGAATAACTATTGTCAGTAGTTCCCTTGATCGGGACTTTCAGTCTTCATTAGAATTCAGGAATGATCTCATACAATAGAGAACTCTTCAGCAAAGCTTTGAAGAAATTAGGAGTTAATTATGGAACAAATGGATAGATTATATTACAGTGAACATGTGCAAAGGGCAAGGTTTATCAAAGGTATGATGTATTCTAGGAGTAAGAGACTGAATCATAAAATGTAAAATACTAAAAACTTGGTAGATATGAAGTTGAAGTTAAATACATCTCTATGCTAAGGAATATAAACTTTATCCTAAGAATTTAAAAGGCATTAATAAGAATTTTAAGCAGTTGGGTAAAATCAAATTTTCTTTTTATATGTTTGAATACATTGTGGCCAGTTATGGATAATGAATTGAAAAGAGGCTAATTCAATAAATGTAAAAATTATATGGTCGTAAGGGAAAGGTTTGAACTAAAGGTGTTTAAAGGTAAGATAATAGATATGGTCAACCATGGAGAATGTGTGCTGTGATTAACACTGGAGAATAGCAGTATTTAAGAAAATAGAAGAAAGAGAAGTATGTGAATAGAAACAACTAGGATGGCTGATGAAGGATGAGAAGAGGGTGGTGTCATGGAAACTATGGCGATAGAATCATGAAAATTATAGAAGAGGGTGGTATAATGGAAACTAAGGAAGGATAGAATTTCATAGAAAAAAAAGTTTACAGAGATCAAATGGCTTCTAAGGAGTCAGTAGCATAAAAAGTTATATCAGAATCCTGGCAGGGAACAAGCAGAACATTTAAATGGGTGACTGGGAGGTTAATAGGAGGCCAGCAAAGGATGGTGACGCTTCCACAGAACTGACAACAAAGTCAGTGTTACCAAAAAGAGGTAAACTAAAAGGAGCTGTAGCTGTGGACAAGGGTTCTGTACAGGACCTGAGGTCCTTTGTCAATGAACATAGCCACTGCTAAATGAAACTCACCTGGGAGGAAACCAGAGAAATAAATATCAAAAGCCTCTTTGTTCTGTCACTCTCCCATTTCCTACAAGTGCCTTCCGTTGGACAAACCCAGCCATAAATCAGAGGCAGGAATCATTCAGCCTCTGGAGCACAGAGCCAAGTGGAGAAGTGTGGAAAGTGAACCTGGAAGAGGAAAAAGAATGTTTAGCAAAGAAGCAATGTGTCCACTATACCCACAACAAAAAAGTCACTAGCAGTTTCTGTCAGAGCAATTTTCGTAAACTCTTAGGTACACAAAATAGATTACAATGAGTTGTAAAGAAATGGTAAGAAAGAAATATAAGAAATATGGCTTGGCTGTGAAAATAAAGAATTATGGGACAATAGCCAGAGGAGATATAGGGCCTTTACATTTAAGATGAGATATCTTATTATGTTTTAATGTGAGTGTCTATGTGATAAGCAATAGAATCACAGTCTAGAAAGGCAGAAAAGAATAAAAACCTGAAATGACTTACATACCTATTTTGTGCTGGCCATTGATTAGTATGAGTTACAAAATGAGATCTCATCCAGTTATATTATAATTCTGTGTAAAGGCAGTTATATGAAAATACACATATAATCTTGTGCAATCAGGGCTGCTACAAAAATTAGAAAAGTGATAAAGAAATATAAAATTGAAGTTAGAAAATAATCTTAAAGGATGAGTAAAAATGGTCTAATAAAGGAACAGCAGTTGGGTTTGGATATGTAAAGCATTGCAGCATTGTAAAAAGCACAGACCCCTAAGAAAATGCACATTTTTCAGAGTTGGAAGGAGTATAGAATGTATTGCTCTTTGGATGGGAGATTATCTAAATCTGTAGATTGAGATTAGATGTGAAATATTTGTCTCTCTATTTAGAAACTTTGAACTTTAAATTCGTGGAGAAAAAATGCAAATTTTTAAGCAGAAGTGATAATCATCCTGTTTATAATTTAGGAAAATAAAAGTATGAATGTTGGAGAATGGAGTATATAGGGATTATGGAGACAAAATGAAAAGAGATTGGGATAACCAAGGGAAAGATCATTACTGCTAAACTAGGATAGTACTATTTTGTATAATGAAGAAAGGACAGAGCTGATAAAGAATTTAAAAAGTTGCGAGTGGTTAGAAGAAAAGCATGATAGAGAAGAAAGAATGAAAATAATGCATTTTTTACAATGCAAAGAAGTGACATAAAGAAATAAGCCAGCATTGTGGCCCAGCAGCCCTGCACCCTCATGGGAGATCTGGATGGAGTACCAGGCTTCAAGGCTTCAACCTGGCCCAGCTCTGGCTGTTGCAGCCATTTGAGGAGTAAACCAGCAAATGCAAGATCTGTCTATCTATGTGTGTCTCTCCTTCTGTCTCTGTAATTCTGCCTTTGAAATAAATAAATAAATAAATAAATAAATCTTTTTTAAAAGAAAAGAAGTAAGAATTTAAGGATGTTGGTCAAATAGAAGTATAATAATTGGAGTGTACAGACAATAGTGGCAGCAAAATCAGGAAATGTCCATAATTTCTAAAGGACTTATGTTAAAAATGTGGTAGTAAAGAAGGAGTTACAAATAGAAGGAGAAGGTGTTTCATGGAAAGAATAGATTATGAGTTTGCTTTATGATAGAAAAAGAGAAAAATGGAAACAAAAAAATCTGAGGAAGCTGACATTTTGAAGCTCGATTGTCGCTCCCCCTCTTCACGGAGGAACGACACAGGACCTTGCGCTGTTCTTTTGTCTGCTCGGCCCTCCCCGGGTTTGCTGCTGGTTCTTCCCGGGTTGGCTACCGACCCTTCCACCTCCGTGGAAGGGCGGTTCCCCCTGCCACTTTCCCCACTTCCGCGGGGGAGCGGCACACCGCTGGCTGGCTCTCTCGGGGGCTGCTCAGGTGTTCCCCTTAGATGTTCCTGGTGCATGTTGTCTCTCTCCTCCTTTATAGTCCTCTTCCACCAATCCCAACTCTGCTACCCACACGCCGAGTACGCTGCTCTCCTCCAATCAGGAGCAGGATCAGCTCCTGCAGGTCATCACTCAAGTTGGCGAGAGGCAGCTGCGTAGAAGTTGTTACTCCCTTCTCAGCTCCATATTGTGGGAGAGCAGATGCATAGAATAAGTCTTAATTCCAGTAACAGTCTAGTCCGAGTTGCTCCCCACACTCGATTAGAAAAATTTGGTGCCGGCGCCGCGGCTCAATAGGCTAATCCTCTACCTGAGGCGCCAGCACCTCGGGTTCTAGTCCCAGTTGGGGCGCCAGATTCTGTCCCGGTTGCTCCTCTTCCAGTCCAGCTCTCTGCTGTTGCCCGGGAGTGCAGTGGAGGATGGCCCAAGTACTTGGGCCCTGCACCCGTATGGGAGATCAGGAGGAAGCACCTGGCTCCTGGCTTTGGATCAGCATGGTGCACCAGCTGCAGCAGCCATTGGGGAATAACCCAGAGAAGTAGGAAAATAACTAGGTGAACATGATGATATGGAAACCAAGGGAATTAAAGTCAGGAAAGAGTAGTCAAGACTATTTTCAGTAATTAAGTCAGTTAATCACAAAGCAGTGCATGGAAGTAGTAGAGATAAAATCCAGACAGCAGTGGGTTAAAAAACAAATGGAAATTGAAGAAAGTGAAGGCAGTGTAGTGTGAGGATACTCAATGGAAAACCTTGTCTGAAGAAAGGATGACAGCTGGGGAGATGGGTCATGAGGTTCAAGGGAAATTTAGCCTTAAACAAAAAGCCTTAAGCCTTTTAACATGGAAGTAATATGCATTCTAAATACAGGCTTCTTCATCTTTAGATTTCTTGTTCTTGTTACTATCCTTTTTATGGGTCAGATAGTTAAAACTTTAGTATAATAAATGAAAGCATGGGCATTTTTCTTATTCTAATGTCTAGTTGCTTAAAGTTTTAGAAAAGTTAAACTATCAAACCAACTTTTACTTCCCTAAAGAAAATGAGCATATAATTAGCATTACAGAAAATCTATAAATAGCATGTCATCTTTGTATTATGAGAAATGATTTTCATTCTGCATTAAAATACTCAGGTTTTTTTAAAGATTTATTTATTTATTGGAAAGTCGAAGTTACAGAGAGAAAGGAAAGGCAGAGAGAGAGGTCTTCCATCCACTGGCTGACTCCCCAATTGGCCTCAAAAGCTGGAGTTGCACTGATCCAGAGCCAGGAGTCAGGAGCCTTCCCTCAGGTCTCCCACATGGATGCAGGGACCCAAGGACTTGAGCCATCTTCTACTGCTTTCCCAAGCCATAGCAGAGAGCTGGATAGGAAGTGGAGCAGCCAGGACTTGAACCGGCACCCATATGGGATGTTGGTACTGCAGGTGGTGGCTTTACCCGCTATGCCACAGAGCCTGACCCCCAGTTAGTTTTTATATTATTGTGGCTATGAACTTCTCATGAGATCGATATTCAGATGTGTGTGTGTGTGTGTGTGTGTGTGTGTATCACATACTTGTTATGTATTTGGAAAACAGATGTATACAATGTATGGAGAGAGCACCAGAGAATTCTCTCCACAGATAACTCACAGATTTGAATAATGTATATGAAAGTGCTGTGTAAATTATACAATGCCATATAAATATGACATATTAGAATATCAAGGATGATGTGTTAGGTTAATGGAAATGTTTATACTTATTGCAAATATAGTATCAGTCCACTATTATCATATTAAAGACACATTTTCAGTGGAATATAAATGTAATATGTTAAGGAATATCAAGAAACAATTTCCAAAGAAGCAGTACTCATGAAAGATTGTTCTAATGTAGAAAATATTAATGGTAGATAAAAAATGATTTGAGAATGTTGGCAATGTGATCATCCAAAAGAGGAAAAATAGTATGAAAAAGTATAGGGCTTCTAAAGTTTAAGCAAGACAAATCAGAGACATAAAAGCTACTTTAGGTAATAATGAGATACAAGAATGTCAATAAGGATCTAAAAGATATAATAAGTAATCAGCCTTCCATCACAACCAGATTCTCATCACGAAGCTAATTTATTTGACTCTTCTGGTAGGTATAGAGAAAATGTGTGTATATTCTCTCCTGTATTAAATAATTAAACTTTAATAATTAGATATTATTAGATATCTATCTCCAATACCCATGTATTTTGGGTGAGACAGTTGATCTTGAACCACATGCTGCCCTGAGAAGTCTGGCCAAAGCTGAACAGTTCTCGTTTGACCTCAATTTGCCTGTTGCACCTGTGCTATTAACTATGTTTTTCTAGCCTGTATTCATCTAGCTTTATGGCTAACAGACTTCTGAGAAGTGAAAATCCTCTAAGAGCAAGGAATTAGGAAAGGGGAACCTGAGTAGAGCTATGCACATTTCTCAGTCCATGTGAGAGTCCCTGGTTGATAAAAGGAAAATCATCCATGGACACTAAGGACAAAAAAATAACATGAATCAAAATAACATGGATGACATGAGAGACATCCTAAAGAACCAAAAATCCATCTTAATAAGGTTCTTTCTGCCTGCCTATCCAAATGCTTTTCCATCTGTGCAGATCCATTCCTGCTTGTCCAGCTGTCTCCACAACTGATCCCTATTTACCTAATCAGCTGTCTTCTTCACGTGTCCCATTGCCCTCTCATCATTCTCAAATTCTTCCTAGCTATCCCACAGTTTCTCCCACCCGCCAGCCTCATATCTTGCCTGTTCATGCATCTATCCCCTCTACTTTTCCAAAGTCCTTCCCATCAGTCCCATTCCCATCTCACCCCATCAAGTATCTTCCCTGCCCTCCAGTTACTTCTAGCTTTTCTAGCAGTTTCCCTCCTCTACCACCCCGTATTCCTTCTGGCCCACCAGACTGTCTACCCCACCCACCCCGAAGTTCTCCAACCATTCCTGATCCTGACTCACAGAACAAGTTATTTTACAAAACTTTCAGACCCAAGCATTTCCTTCCAGCACAGGGTTCTACCCCAGCTACTCTAACGCCTGCCCTTATTCGTCGTTCCCTTCCTACTCGATTGGTTTCCCCAACCCCTTTGGAATCTCTCCCTGTTTTGAAGCCTTCTTGTTTATCTAGTCACCCCCTTCACCCACCAGCCCCCACTGTTTCTTATGTCACTCCGTTGCCTGAACATCCTGCTAGATTGAATCCTTTGCCGTCAGTCCTGCAGTCTCTTCGACAAATCACATTATCAAATCAGCCCCAGACCTATGTGGAGCCTCTACCTTCCTCTGTTATCTCCCATCCACCTCCCTGTCATTCTCCAGCCTCTTCTTTGTCTTCTTCTTCAACATCATCTTCACCCTCTGTACTGTTTTCTTCCTCATCCACGCTTTCCTCTCCTTCAGCTTCCTTTCCTACTTCTCCATCTTTACCTCATTCATCTATTCCTCTTTTACCCTCTCCTTTGTGTTCATCTCCCTCTCCATGTTTGCCTCCAAATTATTTAGCTTTTCCCTCTCCGATTTCTCCTGTTTCTTCTTCATTTCCTCCCATGCTTCACTCTCCTTTTATTTCTACCTACCCATCTCCTTTTATTCCTATCCATCCCTTCAATCCTCCTAACTGGGGGAAGAAAGTAGAGAAGAGAAGAGAAGAAAGTGGAGTAGAGAAGAAAGGAATAGAGAAGAAAAAGTTGAGAGACGACAACTTTAAAGGTAAATACGTTGAGTTTATTAGATATTTTGTAGATATAGCTATATTTTGGGGGGAAGGGTGACTGGAGGGAAAGAATTATTTAAGAGTAGCAAACTGTAAAAGGAAGAGACATACACATACTCTTAATATTCAGGAACTTGTATTAAATATCTTCTTGCTCTCCCTTATTTCCCTGTGAGGACAAAGGGACGTTTAGGAATCTAATAATCATTAACCTTGACTATTTCAGTCTGTCCATATAAATATATATATGGGTGTTGGAGATAGGTATATGTCACATGTGGCTCTGTGTCTCCTTCTAAAACATTTTTATCATCATTGAATTGGAAATAATTCAGTTGAATTGGGACTCAATGCCCCTGGGATTTATACTACCGACCCTTCTGTAACAGGCAGTCAGCTAGTTGCATGATGTCCTTATCCCCATTCCCTAGACTCCCACAAAAAATCATCCTTAATGCATTGTTTTTCTATTTTTTCACACTGTTTGTACACTGAATATGTGCTATAAGTTTCTAGAAGATAGAAAATTCTAAAAGGTGATGTCATGCAGTGATAATTTGTGATAGCACTTTAGCACACTAAAAGTGGATGCTAGGTATATGTACCCCTCTTTTTGTTATTATATTACTAAATCAACTGAAAACAAATGTGTAACCTCTTCTCTTAAACACAGTTAAGTAAAGAGGAAATTCCTGCATTCTCTGACCAGCAGTTTTCATATTTTCTATCTGCTTGAACCTTCAAGCAACTCTATTCAGGGTGTGTATTCATGTTAGGAGTCCCTAACTGACATGACATCAACTTAAACAGTAATGCAACATATTATTCATATGGGAAAGCTCTTAAAGAATAGAGGACTGGGACATCTGTAGAAATTACGTCTACCCCATCCCAAATGATAGAGTAACAAGATTTAATAATCAAAGCCATTAATTTTGGGCTGTTCCAACATGAACATGGAGTTTTTTATTGGTGCTATTTAGTCAGAATAATTATTTTCTATTGCTTTCCTTAAATTCCCATTCTAATATGTCTATATTTCTCCAGTATCCTTATATGTGATTATCTGATTACATATTATACAAATATATTATTACTATTTATAGAAAGAAGCTAATTTTATTTAAATATACTGAATTTTTTTGTGTCTGGTTTACAGGGCTATAGATTCTGCTTTGCCTTCAGCTTTGTCAAAAAATGATCACAAGTATCAGACACATCTCTTATCCAAAAATGATGACAATAAAGAAATGAAGGAAAACAGCAGGACAAACTTAGTTTCTAAGAAAAATGTATTCCAGCTTAAACTAGAGGAAACTGAAAAACTCCTAAAAGATCAGCACTTAAGCAGTTTGCAAGTATGGAACTATATATTTGTTATTAATATTTTAATTTCTAATAATAACTTTGCCCTTTTGCCATATTTTCCACTAAAGAAATATATGTCATTAGCCAAAGGTAGGTAATGAAATAAATTTTAGGTGAATCAGTACATGTTCATTACAAACACTGGAGAAATATTTTTGGCTTTTTCCTGTCTTTCATCTTGCTTCTTCTATTGTTTTTTCCTATACTTCATGTGTCTTCTATTTCAGAAACATACTTTCTGAATATTGTTTTTTGACAGATGTTAAAGCTGTTTGTAAATACAATGTACTATAAATACCATTGTTAAAAACTATATTTTAAAAAAGTAACCTGGGGGTCAGCATTGTGGTGTATCTGGTTAAGCCACCGCCTGCAGTGCCAGCATCCCATATGGGTACCAGATGGAGTCCTGGCTGCTCCACTTCCAATCCACCTCCCTGCTAATGTGCCTGGAAAAATAATGGAAAATGGCCTAAGTGCTTGGGTCCCTGCACCCAAGTGTGTCACTTAGATGAAGCTCCTGGCTCCTGGCTTCATTCTGCCCCAGCCCTGGCCATTGTGACCATTTGAGGAGTGAACCAGTGCCTGGAAGACCTCTCTCTTTCTCTCAGCCTCTGCCTCTACCTCTCTGTCACTTCACCTTTCAAATATATAAATAAATCTTTAAAAATTATAATAATAATCATAAAGCAACCTGAAAAATATAATATACATGGATATTAGGTCCATATGGAAATATGGCAAAATTAACTGGAAGTCATATTTCTAGTCTATGCTAGTAGAGTATTTATTTTGTTACTTTTTCCACAAATGTAGATTTCAGCTGATTTTTCTACTGATTCATACTCTTTATTTCTCATGGATGATATATGAAATTCTTTTTTTTTTTTTTTTTGACAGGCAGAGTGGACAGTGAGAGAGGGAGACAGAGAGAAAGGTCTTCCTTTTGTCGTTGGTTCACCCTCCAATGGCCGCCGCAGCCGGCGCACTGCGGCCTGCGCACCGCACTGATCCGATGGCAGGAGCCAGGTACTTACCCTGGTCTCCCATGGGGTGCAGGGCCCAAGCACTTGGGCCATCCTCCACTGCACTCTCTGGCCACAGCAGAAAGCTGGCCTGGAAGAGGGGCAACCGGGACAGAATCCGGCGCCCCAACCTGGACTAGAACCCGGTGTGCTGGTGCCGCAAGGTGGAGGATTAGCCTAGTGAGCTGCGTCGCCAGCTGTATATGAAATTCTTAATTGGCCACTATCAATATTCAATTTATAATCCTGGCCTGACTCATCTAACAATAAATCAATGGTGGCAAGGTAAAGAAAGCAAACAAGGTTTCTGCTGGCTTTGATGATATGCCTTCCTGCCACAACCAACTTTAGATCTGAATATAATATATGAAACATCTGTTGTTAGACATTCAACCATAAGCAGTACCGTTGATAAGTTTGAAAAACTGAAACAATTAATAGCCCTTCTGAGTTCCTAGGCTTTCTGTGAGATATAATCTTTAGACAACACTCAAAAAAAAAAAAAAATCCACAAGTAACCTAGCTGCCTGTCAATAAAAAACATTCTCTTAAGACTGAAATCTAGCCGGCGCCGTGGCTCAATAGGCTAATCCTCCACCTTGCGGCGCCGGCACACCGGGTTCTAGTCCCGGTTGGGGCGCCGGATTCTGTCCCGGTTGCCCCTCTTCCAGGCCAGCTCTCTGCTATGGCCAGGGAGTGCAGTGGAGGATGGCCCAGGTGCTTGGGCCCTGCACCCCATGGGAGACCAGGAAAAGCACCTGGCTCCTGGCTCCTGCCAGGATCAGCGCGGTGCGCCGGCTGCAGCGGCGGCCATTGGAGGGTGAACCAGCGGCAAAGGAAGACCTTTCTCTCTCTGTCTCTCTCTCACTGTCCACTCTGCCTGTCAAAAAAAAAAAAAAAAAAAAAAAAAAAAAGACTGAAATCTAAACATACAGCAATATAACGCTCACAATGTCAACACTGAATCAAAGGTTATCAGACATATGATGGACCAGAAAATATGAACCATAACACGGAGAAAATTTGCAACAAAATCCGACACAAAATGGCAGCAATGATGGAAATAATAGCCAAGGGATTTAAAATCATTTTGACAATATTTTCAAGGAATTAAAATAGATTTGAACATAATGAAGAAAGATATTTTTAAAATAACCAAATAGACATTCTGGAACTAAAATCTTAATATCTGAAATGAAAAGTTTACTGGATAGACTAAACGATGAAGTCATTTCAGAATAAAAGAACAGTGGATTTGAACACATAACAACAGAAATTATCCAAACTGAAACAGTGGAAAAGAAAATACTGGAAAAAACTTGAGTGTCAGTGACCTATAAGACAATATTAAATATTTAACACATTTAATTAAAATCACACAAAGAGAGAAAATATTTGAAGAAACCATGACTGAAAATGTTTCAAATTTGATGCTTATAAATCCAAATCCAAGAAATTCAACCAACTCCAACAGTAAGTATCATTGTACACATACACACATACACACACACACACACACACACACACTACACAAAGGCAAATCAAAATCTAATTAAGCCAAAGGAAAGAATAATATACTACACACAGGGAAGCAAAAATAAGATGAAATATATAATGTATAAATGAAGGTGAGCATTTTTCAATGGTTAATGATTAGAAAATTCTTGAAATATAGTCATTCTAGAAGAAGCTTCTAACCCAGATCTGTTTGTCTTATAGATTTAGTCTCAAAGAAAGCCCTCTAGGCCAAGTTTCTTTCCTTATCATCATCAATAAAATAATAAGAATAGACATTGAAGTAACTGCTTTGTTTTGTTCTCTTAACTGGGTTGAGTGACCATCCCTTTAGGAAAAGTACTGAAGGCTGTGATGAATAGAGGATAAATGCTATAAATATAATGCTCTCATGACTCATTTTCAAAGTTTCACAGTAATATATTAATATACATTTATCATATAAACAAAAATTTTTATTCTAGAATGTTTTGATTTCTTGGTTTACTTTCTGGACTAGAAAAAGAATATGTTTCTAATACCAGAATGTTTAAATTTTCTAAAATTTATGACATCTATATTAGTATTTCTTTTAAAGATTTATTTATTTATTTAAAGTCAGAGTTACAGAGAGAGAAAGAGCAAGAGATCTTCCATTTGCTGATTCATGCCTAAGCTGGCCCAACTGCCAAGGCTGAGCCCTGCCAAAGCCAGGAGCCAGGAGCTTCACCCGGGTCTCCCACATGGGTAGTAGGGTCCCAAATGAAACATCTTCCACTGTTTTCCTCAGACCACTAACAGGGATTTGGATCAAAAGTGGAACAGCCAGGACATGAACTGACCTGAATATGGGATGCCAACATTGTAGGCAGTACCTTTACTCGCTACGCCACAATGTCACCCTCTATGGCACATTATAAGGGGCACTAATTTTCTTTCTTTGAGTTCATTTAACTTTGGCCTAGATTTAAATTTAATATCTTCTTATAATTTATTTCTGTATATGCATTATATGGACTACATATATCCAATATGTATAGATTAATCCATTTTAGATATGAGTGAGAAATGAGAACTACTTTAAAACATTTACCATACTTTGAAGTGATCATGAAATTGTATTTAAAATTAATAAATTTCATGGAAATTTCAGTGAGATACTGGTAAAATTGTCTATAGAACTTAAAAAAGTTATTACTATGCTAAATCTTCAAAAAGGAGTCATTAATCTCGATATTTCTTAACCATAAATCTGTATTAGAATTATGCAGAGAATTTAAAAATAATAAAAATGCCAATACATAGACCCTATCCAAATGATAAGCCATGAGGACTCATAAATAGGTATTTTACAAGTTTTCTTACATGATTCTAACATAGAATCAGAGTTCAAAACCTTACTATATACTACAAGATTAACTTTTTTAAATTTTTTTTTTATTTTTTGACAGGCAGAGTGGACAGTGAGAGAGAGACAGAGAGGAAGGTCTTCCTTTTTCCATTGGTTCACCCCACAATGGCCGCGCTGATCCGAAGCCAGGAGTCAGGTGCTTCTCCTGGTCTCCCATGCGGGTGCAGGGCCCAAGCACTTGGGCCATCCTCCACTGCACTCCTGGGCCACAGCAGAGAGCTGGACAGGAAGAGGAGCAAGCAGGACAGAATCGGGCACCCCGACCGGGACTAGAACCTGGTGTGCCGGCGCCACAGGTGGAGGATTAGCCTATTGAGCCGTGGCGCCAGCCAAGATTAACTTTTATAAAAAGGATCTATCTCTTAAAAACAGAAAGCTCATTTTAGAATCACAGAGCTTTTAGGAGCCACATTTAAGAGCAGTGGCTATTTCAGGAAAAAATCCAGAATTTTTCTTGCTTTTATGAAACCTTCAAGAAACTCCCTACTCTAAGTGGGGTAGCAAAATTATTGATAATTAATAACAAAATTATTTTCTAAGCTGTAACTGTGAATAGCATAATCAGATATTGTTCCTTTAGGAGTTAAGGCAAACAAATTTTACTATAACTTTTTGTTACCCTCCTACTTTTTGCACTGGAGACTGTTGCAAGGATATAAATTATTTATTTATCCACATTCTATGTAATCATATTACTCTATTTTGCATGCCAAGGAAAATTGGATGGATTTAAAAACAGTGTTCCTTTTTTTTTTCCCAGAAATTTTGTGATGAAGTTAATCGAATAACCAACTCTGAAACCCTCTCAAGTATAGACAGTCTAGAGGTTGGAGAACGTGAAGATATATATTTAACACTTAATAAGGAATCTTCTACATCAATCCAGCCAAATTCTCTTTCCCTTGGATCTGCAAATCTACAATCAGCTAATCCAAGTTGCTTTGTTGAAGATAAACTGTCATTCTCCAAGACTCAACATATAAATAATTGGCTAACAAATTTAGATGCTCCAACTACTCATGCTGCTGCACCTTTCTCAGATATTTTAAGTAAATCTAATGTACCTTCCTGGGAACACTTAATTAGTAAAAAACAAAGCCCATCTACTTTCAGTACAACCATGGAAAGAGCCACAAGTACTGCAAATAATTCAGTGGCCTTTGTGTATAGTCCACCTGTATTTGAAGCGGATAAAAAAAGAGGAAACTCCTCTGAAACAAGCACTAGGAGCACAACTGACTGCACTTCTGAAGCATTCAAAAATGAGAAGCCATTAGTTACCGAGAGCCCAACATTTAGATTCAGTAAAGCCTGGACTGCTCCAGATTATGTAGCCCAGGAAGTGGCTACATTTTCAGACCAACAGAAGCATTCTGAAGAAACTCAAACAAATAGAACTACTTCAGTTCCTACTTCATTTCTATCAGCTACAACACCTTTAGTTTTGCCATCTAATACACAATCAGCTAGGCCTTTAGCAAAGAGTGGTATACACGTAAAAGAAATAAACCCAGTGCAGTGTTCTGATAAGTTAGATGAATTGAAAGATGTTAAAGATGAAAAGATAAAATATTTTAACTGTAATAAGGAAGAGTTGCCTTTATTTTCTAGTTTAAAAGATAAAAAACAAAGAGCATCTGAAACATTAACATCATTGTCTAATATAATTTCTAATTATGATTTAGTTGGCCAACACAAGAAAATGAAATATAACATTCATGAGAGAAACGGTGTGAGGTTTCTTAAGAGTATTTTAAAGAAAGAATCTAAATATGAACATGATTATCTTAAGACAATTATTATAAATCAGGGCTTTACATTTGGAAATCAAAAAGCATCAGCTATCAGAGATAGTATTGAATTAACAAAACAAAAAGGGAAAGGTACAGAAATCCCAAAGACAATTAAAAAACTGAGGTGGTTTGATGAAACTAGCAATATAGAAAACAATGCTGAGGATAGTCATTCCCTGAAAAACAGAACAGGAATAACTCAACAGTGGTCTCCAGAATTCCATACTGAAAGTGATGCTGACAGCAACATAATTAGTATTCCTGCTTGTGCTGTAAATTCAGATGATAGAAAGAAGTCCAAGGATATTTCCGTCTCTGACAATGCCACTTCTTTAGGAAGACATGGAACAGATCATGTGCCCTTGAATTGTTTTCTACCTTCAGGTTATAATCTTGCTAAACAAGCCTGGTCAGCCTCAGCTAAAGAAGAAAGTAATATCCCTGTACATATTAGTGATTCTAAAACTCAGAAAGATGATCCACAAAGAGGTGGAGCAAAAGTAATCAGAAGAGCAGGATCTGCCAAAGTCCAACCAGGCTGTATATATACAAACAGAAAAGGCACTGTCATTCAGCCACCCTCTGCAAGCAAAGCCAAAACATTTATACAAACTCAGGGTAAACTAATGATACCTCATCCTCCTCCTAAACCTACTTCAAATATCAGAAGTGGTAAAAATAAACAAATGTCTCACTGTCAATCAGTAATGCCTGAAAATTCTCAAAACATTATTGGATATAACTGTTTTAATTCAACACATTTGCTTCCAAAAGAACCTAATTTGAATCAGTGGAATCAAAAACGTAGTCCTCTGCTCTCAGATGCTTGTTCTGACCTAGTCACTGTGATACCGTCTCTACCATCTTACTATTCTTCTGAGTGCCATACTTTACCAAAAACAAACCATTCAAATGGCGCTCAAATGATTGCCCAGCAAGATGGGACATTATATTGCAGTCAAAACAGTCCTGTTTCTGAAGAAAGTTACCAGTCTGTGACTCTAAAAACTATGGAGGAAGAGTCAGTTCTCTTGTGGAAAAGAGGGAATAATACTCTGCATCAAAATGAGAGGCCCACTGGTAAGGATAAATTTATATCTTTTTATGGATAAAATGTGGAACTTTTTAAATTCATGTGAAATGTTTATTATTGTGGTATGGCAATATGCACTGTTTAGAAATTAATATTAAATCATAAATTAGTCTTATAGAAATAACTCCTTTAGTATTGTAACTTTGTCTAATAGCTAAAGCTTTTAAGAGAATGATCTAAATTGTGCTCACCTAAAATCTGAAACTTTGGCCAGCTTCCCTTTTTTTTCCCCATGACTTTTTCTTTTTAATTTAAAAAGGGAAGACAAGGAAAAGGATGTGATTCTTGCCCTAAATTACTCTGTTTCTACCATTACAGTCAAATTTTCTATCAAGGGGAAGAGTGAAAAATATTGCTTAAGTTATCCTAAAAAGACAAATAATCATGGTTATATTATATATTATTTTTCTTTAAAATTTTTCTAAAATTGAATTGCCATAAGCTCATATATACCTAATCCTCCCATCGTGGGTCCAAAAGTAAGGCCACTGTGCTCTTATGTGCTTATACAAGAATACTTCAAACTGCAGTAGAAAAAATAATGTTATCCTTGGTGCAATGCAGATTTGAAATCCACACATAGTTTTTCATAATATGCCTTTTGCATGAACTTTCTGAAGATTTCATATATTTATTTTCACATGGGAAAGAAAATTAAGCCATTGCTTTCAAACTTTTGAAAAATAATTATCTATAAAATGCCCATGCCCTTACTAGCTGATTAGTTTCGTATGAAACTACTTTCTGCCTCTGAGGGAATGGACCAAAAACCCATAAATTTTCCTGCCAGTAGACATTCATTGCTTATTGAGAAATAGTTTTGGTGGGGGCGGGGAGGTAAAAATGCAACTCTTCTTTTTCCAACAGTATAAATAAAAATTAACATATAAAGAGAAAATTTAATATTCAAAGTGTTCTTCAGTTAGACTATGAGCTTTTAAGGACAAGGACCGTTTTCTTTATAATTCATCATTTTATCCAAGTCCTAACAATGCCTGGTACTTTGTAGGCACTCAGACTTTTCTTGCATTAGATGGACACAAGCCACTTTAGCAGCTGCAAAGCTAAATGCAAAGACTATAATCTAAAAATCTTAAGTACTTCTCTATAAAAGTCAAGATTTTATTTATGTATATATTTTTAAAATTTTTAGAGAGACAGAGAGCTGCTATCCACTGATTCATTCCCAGTGTCTGCAATGGCTAGAGCTAAGCCAGGGCCAGAGACAGGAACTAAGAACACAATCCAGTTCTCATGCATGGATGCAAGAATCCAATTATTTAAACCATCCCTGCTGCCTTTCAGGGTCTGCCAGAGACAGAAAACAAACCCAGACTTCCCAATGTGGGATGCAGGCATCTTAACCACTAGGCCAGATGTCCACTCCTAGATTTTATGTTTTCTGTCACTGAAATTTAATTCTCTGCTTATCCAATCATTTCACAATGTAACTTTTCAATTTTTATCGGTATTTTGAAGAAATAGGATAATCATGCAACTTGATCTAGAATATATAACCACAGTTACCTTTTTTTAGTTTCTTCTCTGTATCAGTCATAGAGCTAGGTAATTTCACTTCTTATCTCACTTAAAACATATAATAACCCTGAGGAATAAATTTTTAAAAACCATGCTTTACAAAAAAGGAAACAGAATTGTCTCCCATCAATATGGTAGAATTGGTATTTAAATTTCTAATATTCCAATGTCTTGTGCTTTTCCTACTAAAGCTGAATAATAACATTATTATCAAGTAAATATGTATCAGACTCTGAGATAATCACAAAAATATGCATAAAATGGGTAGTTTACTAAGATTCCCTCATTCTCTGATAAGACTGGAATATAGTTCATCTGGAGAAAGCAGTATCTTTTTGATATTTACAAGGGAGTATGTCTTCTTCGTGATATAAGGGATGCTGGAACATGTAATGAATTTCATCATCTTTAGCCATATTTTTAAAGAGATAAAAATTCTCTCTATCAGAACTCTCTAGGAAAAACCCTATTCCCATGAGACCCAAATCTTTCAACTATATCACATCCTATATCAAGGTCTCAAATCGTTCCCTCCTAAAAGATGAATTTACAGTCAGGTTCAGTCATCATAATGAAGCATTCATGTGGGTAAACAGCCAATACCTTGACGTTTCTCAGTCTTCTTTCATCTGTAATGATTTTCTGTACCACTCTATCAATTTTACTTTCCCTTGGTCATATTATGGACCTTGTCAATATCCATAACTACCTCTTCTAAAATCAGTAACTCAATTACTTCTTCCTCTTAGATTATAGTCTTTTATTCTTTCTACTTTTATTCTAATTCATCAACTCTGTTTTCTACTCCTTATTCAACTTAGATTAATGGCCTATCATTTCCATAATACTTTTGCCAAAACTGCCTAAACTCCCTGACCTTGGTCTCTTTTGTCACACCAATCAGGCAGTCCTCCCTCCCTGGATTGAAAAAGGGGGTGGGGAAGGGAATGAAAAAGTTATTATCCACTTTTTCTCTACCTGATCTAAGGAGCAGAAAAAATTCATACAGTAGTTGAGCATATTGATTATGCTGTAGATTCATGATCTGATGATCAGCATTACCAATTAATCTTATTTTTCAGGTGAATTCACCCTATTTTTTGCAATAATTATTGCAAGTATTTATCTTCCCAAATATCTAATATCCCCACTGCTTCTACATCATATATTTTCACCTACTTATTTTTCCCAGATCATGTATCAATGGGAATAATGTCCAAAAATGAGAATAAATTTTAGTAAGAATGCTTTAATAAATATAAATGTGAATAAAATTTAATTTAAAATCATGCAAAACTATATTTTTGAGCTTATGGATAAACCCTAAATAATAATCTATGGATAATAGAATGTAGCAGAAATCATAATGACAAACATCAGACTCAGAATAGTGACTATATCTGGTGAGAGAAGAATAGAATCTATGATGGAGTAGGACCTAGGGTTAAAGAATATATTTATTTAAATAAATAAATATAATAAATTTCTTTAAATAAATAAATAAATTTGATAAAGAATATCATCCACTTAATATACTAAAACAAAGTAAATCTTTAAGAACAAGTTTTACTATAAACGCTCATAATACAACTCATTGAGGACAGATGTCCTGCATGGGGAGTTAGTGCACAGTGACTCCTGTTGTTAATTTAACAATTAACAGTCTTATGTATGACTTCAGTGATCACCCTAGGCTCTTGACATGAGCTGCCAAGGCAATGGAAGCCTTTTGGATCCACAAACTCCGTCAGGATTTAGACAAGGCCATAAGTAAAGTGGAAGCTCTGTCCTCCCTTCAAAGTACCTCCCTCTTTGATGACCACTTTTTTCCACTGGGGTTTCACCCACAGTGGTCCTTCATGAAGGACAATTTTTGCCACAGTGTCTTGGCTTTCCATGCTTGAAATGCTCCAGTGGGCTTTTCAGCAAGACAAGAATGCCTTAATGGCTGATTTTGAAGTCAGAGTGCTACTTCAAGTGATTGTCTTTCTATGAGTCTGCTCTATGGACTGCTTCCCATGTTGGAGCATTCATGCCTTTTTAATTCTGTCTGTTGTTATTACCAAACACTTAATCCTATTTGTATGATCACTTTAACAATCTTATCCCTATGATCACTTTAACACATAAAATACTTTTTTATAAACCACCCCTGCCTCACTTATAGGGATTTAGCATCACATGGCAAGTTTTTAAACTGTACACTTAGAAATAAGTCCATAGGAATGTATGCAAAACTATCCAACTTTACAGTTACAAACTTCATATATTTCATAATTACAACTTTTAGGAATGTGATGATTCTTTCCATGGTGCCCACTCTCCCACCCACACTCCCAGCCCCCTCCCTACTCCTTCTTATTCCCACTCTTATTTTTTACTAAGATGTATTTTCAATTAACGTTATACACATATGATTAACTCTATGTTAAGTAAAGAGTTCAACAAATAGTATTAAAAAAAACTGTTCCTCAACAGTCCAGACAAGGGATGTTCAGAGCCATTACTTCTTAAAATGTCAATTTCAGTTCTACAGATTGCCCTTTAGGTGCTCTATTAGGTGTCACAGATCAGGAAGAACAAATGGTATTTGTTCCTTTGAGACTGGCTTATTTCACTAAGTATGATGTTTACAAGTTTCGTCCATTTTGTTGCAACTGGCCGGATATCATTGTTTTTCTTTTTTATTTTTACCGCTGTGTAGTATTCCATGGAGTACTTATCCCATAATTTCTTTAACCAGTCTTCAGTTGATGGGCATTTTAGTTGATTTCATGTCTTAGCTATTATGAATTGAGCTGCAATAAAAATGGGAGGTACAAGCAGAAGGAACAGGCCATCAAGGAGAGAGGCGCCTTTCTCTGAAGGGAGGAAGGAACCTCCACTGTGATACAGCCTTGACTAAACAAGTTCAGAGTCAGTGAACTCAAGGGGCTTCCATAGCCTAGACAGCTCATAGCAAGAGTCTCGGGTGATTGCTGATATCATAAATAAGAGTGCCAATTGTTAAATCAACAACAGGAGTCACTGGGTACATGTTCCCCATGTAGGATCTCTGTCCTTAATGTGTTCTACTATGAAACTTAAAAAACAACACTACTAGTCGAACAATACCCTATACCTTGTGCAGTTGTGTGAGGGCAGCCTGTTGAAATCCTTGCTTAGTATATACTAAGTTGATCTTCAGTATATGAAGGTAATTGAAAATGAAACTTGATGAAGGGTGGGATGGGAGAGGGAGTAGGAGAGGGGAGGGCCACGGGAGGGAGGGAGGTTGGGGGGGGAGCCACAACAATACAAAAGTTGCACTTTGTAAATTCACATTTATTAAATAAAAAATAAAATAACTATATAACAAATAAAAAAGAAAAAGAAAAAAAAGAACTTAATACTTTACCCTTTTAGAATTTTTTATGTTCTACTTAAAACTATTGGTTGAACTCTGTAA